GGCTGGGTGTGCATATGTTCCCATTTTTTTTCTGTGTTTGCTTGAATTTAGGTTTCTGGAGTTGCCAGGCCAGAACGTCTAGTGGCACCAAGATTGGATCACGGCATTGAGGGGCTACAGCGAGCTTAGAAATAGGGACTGAAAACAATAATGCATTGGTTCTTGTATCCCAATTTAAGCATGTGTTTGTGAGGTGGGGTTTGTCCTTTTTGCAAGCATATAAGGGAGGCAACATGTCCATAGGATACAGACCTAGAAGGTAGGACACCAGGGATCTAGTTCTCGATCTATCACTGTGCCTCAGTTTCTCCAGCCGTAGAGCTAGGGTATTCACCGTTATTTCCCCTGGTGTAGTGCCCAGAGCTGTATGAGCAAAGTCTGTTTTGTTGTGAACAATACAGGGCTGTCATCTCTGAGGCCTGACACCTTTGCTGCACTTCAATGTGAATAGTAACCGCTGTGAGCCATTTTGGCTGGAGGGGCAACACAATGGCCCTTTAAACTGTAGAAGAATAGGTCTGCAAGGGACCCAAGATGACCTTGTGCATTGACTTAGCTTCAAGCGTATCCGAACCATCTGTAACCTGTCCTTAGATGCCAGACCCTCCTGAGGCAATACCCAACCTAATTCTTCTTGGCTGCAAGCTAAGCCAATGCCTGGCTGGGTTGCACTGATCTGGAAGCGTTTCTATGCAGGACCTGGGAGGTAAAAGTACCTCCCTATTTGGTGTGGGATAGGCCTGAGCTGGAGTGCCATGTCCAGTGTAGGAGACTGCATTATGAGGATGTCTATACAGAGGCAGCAGCATGTCTTAAGTGAACGCACTCATGGCTCCTACACTCTGGGCACGCCTACGCGTTCATTAATGTGCAGTAGTTACCATGCATTTAATTTAGTACTTGCTTAATGAAGTACCCACTCAATGCACAGTCACTAGATTTACTGCAGAGTACTGTTGGCAAATGCCTTTTTAGTGACGCTACTGTGCAGTAGCCTAACAATACTGCACAGTAGCGTATTAGCACTGTCCATGCTACTGTGCAGTGTTATTAGGCTACTGCGCATTAAGCGGCTCATGTAGACACACTCTTTGTGTTGAATGCAATGCAGTCAGGTCTCTAGGTACTCCAACTGGTCTGCTGCTGTACATACACAGAAGCCCAGATGTGCGTGTCTGGGGCCTTTGCTGTCCAAAATGGAAGCACCCAATGAATACAGGCACCTAATGCCCTTTATTGCCAGTAGATCATGGCCAGCCTGCAACACTCTTTGAAACTTAAGCACCTACATTACACCTATGTCCAGTCTGGACATCTATAGGACCAGTGTGTATTGTGCTTCTTGCTCTCAGTTCGTTCTTTGCAAAGAAAAGCAATATAAACTTTGCGTTAATGAAAGCTGAGGTGGGCCTCAAATATCTCTGCCAGGCAGAGATGCCCAAGGAAGCTCTCAACAGCCTGACTCAGGCCCTGGCAAGAGTATAACCAGATTTGCAGCTTGAAAGTGGGGCATCTTACCCCAAGCAAAACACTTCCAGTATCTGGTCAGACCTAACTCTGCCATCTGGGCCCTGCCCTTTCAGCCAGCCACAGGCTGCAAACCATGGCATTAGTCCATCAGCCTCCTCCACCACCAGTACTTTTATGCAACCCTGCTGCCTGAATTGTCACTTAACTCCTGGCACCCTGGCATTTCAATCGAGTCCCTGCCTGCTGCATTGATCCCTGGAAATATCCACGAGGTCCTTTCTAATTCTCCCATTACATAATGGCCCTGCTTTGGGTGGGGGGTTGGACTAGGTGTGACCTCTTGAGGTCCCTTCACACCCTCATTTCCTATGATTCTCTGAAAGAAAAGGAGTCTGGCATCTGTCACACCTGACATCTATGAGCAGCCGCCAAGCTCCTCAGGACTGGAACAAGCTCTGCTGCTATTCCTCACTCTTCCCAAGTCATGAATCTCCCTGGGACCTGCAGCATGGGGAGGTCTAGACAGGAGGTGATAAAGCCTGAGGGGCAGGAGCAGTGCCCCCCCCCCACCCCCTCATTGCTGAATACTCAAGTTCAGTGGGGGACAACCGTTTTTGGCAGGCACGCCACAAATTAGCCCTGTGCCCTCTCCAAGTGCCACTCTGATCCCCTTCCTCTGTGCAATCTGCTGCTCTGCTTTCTGCTCCATGTCCTTTGCTCCCTGTGTGCTTTGCTGCTCTGCTTTCTGCTGCCTGTCCCCTCCCTGACCTGCTGTGTGCCACACACAAAGGCACACATGCTCCAGATTGCCTCCCCGCCCCTGGTAGGTAGCACACACTCACAGGGATGTACGAAAGTGTGCACTCTGCTACGGTGTCTGACTTCACCTGGGAGACACTGATACTGCAATGATGGATGTCAGTAAAACAACGTGAGATAAAATTGGGTCTCAAAGTGACTAAGCAGCAAATATTATCATCCAGAGGATGGAGCTGTACAGAATTGCACCTTTGAGCACCTGTTATTTGTAGGAGGCAGCTTGGGATAGGGGTTCAGGCAGAGGGGGGAGTTGTGGATGAGGGTAACAGGTTTTACCGCTGTAGCAAGTGTTTCGAGGACTCTGGTCCAAAACGTGAAAGCTCAGCATGCCAGTGCACACACACATGCACACATGCAAAGAGCTGCCATTTACACTGGAGCTTTCATTTGCAAATCATTTTGCAATACAATTCTCTGTCCGTTGCTGCCTGATACCATCACTGCTGCAGCTCCTGCCTTCCCCCATTATCTCTGCTCTTCTTTGTCTCCACAGCCAGCACTCACTGGAAACGCACTCCCACTCCCCAGCTTCTCCTCCCTGCCCTGTTTATTGGTAGCCATCGTGCCCTGGGAGGAACAAGCTGCCATGAAAGTTATGCTAGAAATGGAGCCTTTGCATGATGTGCATCCTTGAGCTCATGCAGTACAGGAGCAACGCATGGCAGAAAGGCTTGTAGGCATGGTTTGTTCACACCACCTCCAGAGACAAGAGAGAAGAGACATATTGCTGGGAGGGAATGGGAAGCCTCCCCCACTGCTGTCCATTTTGTACTGGGGGAAATTCATCCCTGCAGAGATGCAAGCTTAGGAGCTTGGCACCGCACATGTGTCACGTCAGCCTGACGGGGGTGGTGGGAATTAAAGTGCTGCCAAGGCACTATATTAGGTCTCAGAGTACTAGCTCTGTTCAGAGGAAGCAAAAGGATAGAAGTAGCTTTGGTGAGGAAGAGGAAGGATGTAGGGAGCAGGACAGGTTTCCTTGAGACAGGCAGAGTCCTGGAGGATTATAAAACAAAGACAGGAGCATCCAAACTGAAGCCCAGAAATAAAGCAAAATGCTGAAACAAGTCCCCATGGGTAGGCTTGGGCTTTGGGAACGTGCACGCTCCCTGCTGCACTAGGAAGCTGGTGGGCTAGGGGGTCTGTGCACATGCGAACAAAGGCAGGGGTCTCACCCTGTGCTGGCTGGAGCTGGAGGGATGGGGATTTGGGGGTGTCACTGAGATCATGGGGGAGGCTGGCATGAGGCTCTCCACCACCGTGGGCACCGTTGGTTTTCCGGGGAGCAGGGCTGACTGCACCTGCCCCTGGCAGAGGGATGACACCTGCTCTGCCTGGGCAAGAGAGGGCAGGGGCGCAGCTTCTCTGCACCGTGCAGAGGACCCATGTCAATGCTGACAGCTCAGGGGAGCCGGCCGGGGTGTCAGCTCTTGCAGAAGGGAAAGGCAATGCCAGGACACAGTCCAAAAAATGTAGCAACACCACCGGACTTTTCCTTCTCCATTTGGGGCTTTTTCCAGTCCTTTTTGGAGGAAAGAGCTGCAGGCACTGTAGGGCCATTTGATTGCACTTTTCTAAGTGGGGGGAAAACATCTGAAGCAGTCAGTTCCCTTTTTTTGGAGGGGAGAAACTTGAATATAATTATGCAAGGGGTGAATCCGTATGTGCATGTTATCAGCTAACACAAGGTTTATAAATTATTTTCTGTTAGGTAGAATCAAATCTCTGTTTTAATTCACGCGTCTGTAAGAAAGGTGGAGGCCTTTTACGTGCTGCCCTGTGATTAGAAATCCCACTGATGCTCAGGGAGACTTCGCTAAACTCTGTCCAACCTTTGGTTTTAAAAACTGATCTTCAAAGACATGTCTAACCGGGGATTTTTTTTTTTTATCCGGGTTGATTGGTGTGTTTTCCACATTTTTATTGCAGCTTTATGGCTGCCAGATGGATCCCAGTAATGATGATTTGTGCATCTGGTATCTTGGCATTTTGTATTTCTGCTTTAAAATAATCAAGTGGGAGTTACCTGAATTCTAGGGAGCTATTTGCTGAAGACTTGTGAAGTATTAATAGGGCCTAAGATTGTATCTGCTGAGTTTGCTGTAGTCTGATGGCTGCATCACTGCAGCAAACCCGGAATCAGTAACCTAGACTGGCTCTTGCTAATTAGTTATGGTCTTTATAAATCAGTAAATAAATTAGGAAGGGTCTGTTTGGTGTTCTGGGCCTCTCTTCCCATTGGAAACAATGACGAATGCAATGACTGCAAGGCAACAGCTTTCTAGCACTAACCATTGAGCCTTGCTGCAAGTAAATGCTGGGCAAGGGTCTTAGCTCCTTGCCAAATGCTCTGTTCCTAATCTGCCCGTGTCCCCTGCATCTCCAGCCACTGGCACGTCTCTCATGGTGCTAGGTGGTGCAGCCGTCCTGTCATCTAGCAGCCCGGCCCTGATCTTGCAAAGAAACATGGGTGTGCTGCTAGACGGCGCGCACATTTAACAACAACAAAAAATTCTGCTAGTAGATTAATCAGAAAACAACTGAATTTTAATGAGCATTGGTGCTTAGGTAATTCATGCATGGAGATACTATAGCACTCCTCCGGGAACGGGGGCACAAGAAGACAGAAGATTTTAGCAGCCAGGGATCAGATCATTGGCAGGTCGAGTCCAGGATCCTGCCTCCTGCTTCAGAGGAAGATAGAGGTCCTCCTGACTCATGAAGACTGAAATGGAGTTGGTGCAAAGAGGTGGCGTAAGAGTTAGGATGCAAAGGGCTTGCGCTGCAGAAAGAGAGCTTGCTTCAGCAACGCTGTACATCAGGGAAGGGGCTAGAAATGGGGGTCATGATGGTCACGCACTTAAATATTTAGGGAGTAAAACACGGGGAAGGAATAGGAAGGAAAGCCCAGCTGAGAAATCCCAGGACAGATGTGCAAGGAGCTGGCAGCTGGCGACGCACAGATTTGCACTGAGGGAGGTCCCGCATGTCGGTGGCAATGGGCGCAAGGAGTTTGTGTCTTCCAGAAGGGCCAGGAGTGTCTACCCAGAAGTAAGTAAATACCTCCTCTTATGAATCCACCTAAGCCACGTGGAGCTCGTCAGGGCCACAGCCCTTCCCCCACCAGGCTCCAGCTCAGTCCAGTCCTGAGCAGCATGCACAGGGCAGTGGTGGTCAGCCCCACCACCACGGGGCTGGCCTGCAGGCTGGCCGCCCCGTCGCTGTTGCACAGGTCGGTGTTGCAGCAGGTGACGGGGCGTGTAATGCCGATGCCATCCACGTCGGACGGGACGCACCGCGGGGCACACATCTTTGTGACGGTCGAGTCACCCAGGTAGGGGTAAACTGTAGCAGGCAAAGCGAGAGAGAGAAAAGGGGTTATGAGGGTCTGCGGGGGCTTCCAGAGAGCACTGGAAAGCTTCAGATTGCAGGACCGCTTAGCAACGGGACCTTTTTTCCAACCCATCATACCCCTTGCTGGCAAAGGATGTCCCAGGTATACTGATGTAGGGTAGCGAGTGGGAGGGCTCTCTCTGGCTGCATGAGAGCATGAGGTCCAGCATGCCCCTTTCTAGCTCTGTGAATGCCCTGCCGGCTGATCCCACATCCCACCGCTAACCCCATCGTAGCCAGGACTGTCTAACCATGCTGTCTCTGCTCTCCTTGAAGGAAGCACCTCCTTGCTCAGTGAAGAGCATCTGCTGACAGGTGCAGGGGGAAGGCCACATCCCAAGGGGGGATGCTAATTCAGTTAAGTCAAAGGAAAATTTGCTATGGGCATGTCTAGGCTGCATTGAACAATGCATGGGGACACCGTGGTGGCAACAAGTCTCTCCCTCCTGCTCCATGCATGCCCTGAGCATCCTAGAATAGCCCCAGGTGTGCACCAAAAAGCAACTGCAGACCATTTGCTCGGCATATGAGGAGAGGCGGGGGTG